CCAAATTCTTTCTACATATATATAATTTATATAATTATTATATCTACTTATAGAGTGCTCTTCATGTCAGGCCGGCCTGACGGGCTGCCCCGTCCGGCCGAGCCCGTTTGGGCACCTTCCCGGTGGAATTTTTTGATGAAATTTTTTGAGCATGTTCTTCATCAAGTCTAGTTTGTCCATACCAAATTTCAGCTCAAAATTCGATCGGGAAGGTCGTCAAATGATTTTTGCAAGTTAACTGGTCCGGAAAATACATATTCCGGACCAGTTAACTTGCAAAAATCATTTGACGACCTTCCCGATGGAATTTTGAGCTGAAATTTGGTATGGACAAACTAGACTTGATGAGGAACATGCTCAAAATATTTCATCAAAAAATTCCACCGGGAAGGTGCCCAAACGGGCTCGGCCGGACGGGGCAGCCCGTCAGGCCGGCCTGACATGAACATTCCTCTCTACTTATATATTAATTATCTATTTAAAAATATATACTTATAGTCTTATACACATTCATATTATAATTCTTTACACATTATATATACTATATAAGTATATATACTATACACATTCATATTCACTTGATATTTAGTTATTATCCATACTATTGTTATTTACTTATATTTACATATTACATTTAGTTAATATATACTTATATATATATATATATATATTAAAGTATTAAGTATAAGTGTATTACTCATCTTATAGTAATATACTTATATATTATATACTATAAACATTATATTATATATTACTTATAATATATTTACACATTATATATACTATATATACTTATACACATTCATATTTATTTGATATTTAGTTTTTATACATACTATTGTTATTTACATATATTTACATATTACATTTAGTTAATATATACTTATATATATATATATATATATATATATTAAAGTATTAAGTATAAGTGTATTACTCATCTTATAGTAATATACTTATATATTATATACTATAAACATTATATTATATATTACTTATAATAGTAGTTAATTGTTAGACTTCTAATTTATCTATTAAATTAGTTAATTGTTACATTTCTCTACATTTCTCTTTAAAGAAAAAAATAGTTAAAGTAGTATATTTTTACATTTGTCATATTTCAATTAGTTAAAGTACTTAATTGTTTCATTTGTCATATTAAAATTAGTTATTTCATACATTGCTCATTAAAGTAAAAAAAAACTAGTTAAGTTTTACATTTGTCATAATAATATTAGTTAAACTACTTAATTGGTACATTTTTCATATTAATATTAGTTACTTGCCACATTTCTCATTAAAGTAAAAAAAGTAGTACATTTTTACATTTGTCATATTAATATTAGTTAAAGTATACATTTCTCATTAAGGTAAAAATAACTAGTAAATTTTTACATTTGTCATTTTAAAAACTACCTAAAGTAGTTAATTGTTAAAATTGTCATATTAATATTAGTTAAACTACCTAATTGTTACATTTCTCATATTAATATTAGTTAATTTGTACATTGCTCATTAAAGTAAAAAAAAACTAGTTAATTTTTACATTTCTCATATTTATATTAGTCAAACTAGTTAATATTTAGTTAATTGATACATTTCTCATTAAAGTATTAATTAGAAGTAGTTCGATTTGTATACTCATATTTTAGTTTTCTTAGTCACATTTTATTATTACTATTGTACTCATATAAAATATTTGATATCATTTAATATTTGTTCAATTTTAAAGATGGAACGTGGTAGACATTCTGTAGATGTGGGTAATCTCCAACGCAACCGCAAGAGGGAGATTGCGTCGACTCGTCCTAATTCACGCAAAGGCAAAGGTAAAGCGCGGGCCGAGTCTTCTTTTCAAAGTCGAGATGATTTTGAAACGGATTACCAACGGAGAGATGATATGATGATGTCCGACGAGCATCTACAAAACCTATTGTCCCAAAACGATCCACGCTTTGCACAAGAACAACCCATCCCGACAACCATTGATGAAGAGGAGCTCGAGGATGACGATGCGGAGGAGGACGCGGGGGGCGACGGGTCTCACGGCACCCCGGATGATGAGCAAGACTTGGAGGACGAGGGCGGTTCAACCCAAACTGGTAAGAAATCTAAATCTCCTATTATTGAAAACAATTTTACAAAAAGGAAAGACAAAAATACCGAAAAATGGTACGCAAGTTGCAATCATTGCGGCAAAGAGTATAGCTTGGGAACTTCTGGCGGATACGGGAGTCTCACAAGGCATCTTAAGTCCGCCCATCTTGTGGAGTATGCGAAAATAGACAAGGGCAAGGGGAAGCAAACACAAATATCGAGGTTTGCAAATTCTCAACCCTTTGGTAATTTCTCCTATGATGATCAAAAACATTTGACTGGTATGTCTCATTTAATTGTTGAAGAAAATTTACCCTATATTTTTTCCGAAAGTCTTGCTTTAAGAGATTATGCTCAAGGCACTTTAAATCCTCAATTTAGAAATTATAGTCGCAAAACGATTAAAAAAGAAGTTATAAGGCAATATAACTTCGAAAAAGAAAATTTACAAACATTTTTCGCAAACTTTAATGGACGTGTTAGTATTTGTAGCGATATATGGGAGGATACTTATCATCATTTATATTATTTGGGTCTTACTGCACATTATATTGATGATGATTGGAATATGCATAAACGTGTTCTTGCTTTTCGTGAATTCAATGATCGTCATACTGCTGATAATATTTATATTCTCATTGAGCGTATTTTAATTGAGTATAATTTGCTTGATAAGGTGTTTGCTGTAGGTTTTGATAATGCTAGTAATAATACTGCTGCTATACCTAGATTGCGTGAATTGTGTGGTGCTTCTACATTGATGGGTAGGTTTTTTCATCAACGTTGTGCATGTCATATTCTAAATTTGTGTGTACAAGATGGATTAGCGGCATTAGGAAATGCTTTGGAGGTAGTGAAGGGGGGAATTAAATTGATTTGGGCTAACACTCCACTAAAAATGCAATGGCGACAATATTTGAAGGAAAGACGTGTCAATTATTGTGCTTTTCCTAAAGATTTGTCTATTCGTTGGAATAGTACTTATAACTTAATTCAAGTACTTATTAGATATAAAGAACATTTTCCTGCTTTTTTAAGACAAACTTGTAACTATATTATAAACCCGGCTGACATCGACACTTGTGAAAAAATTGTTAATGTTTTGGTATATTTTAATAACGCAACTCAAACTTTTAGTCATGTTTATAAACCTACCGCAAACGAGTTTTTTGTTGAAGCTGTTAATCTCGCCGGCGCATTTTTAGAATTTTCCGATGCCGCTTACGTTAGTTATTTTTGTGATTTCATGAAACAAAAATTTTTAAAATATTATTCACATGTTCCGCATATATATGGTATTGCATTTGTTCTTGATCCTCGTTATAGACTTGCCGCGTTGCCAAGTTGTATAGATTACTATTATAATTGTTTTTTTCCAACTCAAGAGTTCGATGATAATCCCATCGACCCTAAACAAGAATACAACGAGGTTAGTAATTTATTTCATCAATTGTATAATGAATTTTATGCACAATATGGTAATGCACCCCCTCCCATGCCGCGAACATCTTCTTCATCTAAAGGAAAATCACTTTTAAAATCTGCATTTGGTTCTCTTATGAAAAAAAGTAGAGCAACTCCCGCTACTGAACAAAGCTCAGTTAACGAGCTTTCTATCTATTTAACATTGAATGTTGATTATGAAGTTGGGGATGATTTTGACGTTCTTAAGTGGTGGAAGGACAATGAAAGAACGTTCCCGGTTTTATCAAAACTGGCTAAGCAAGTGCTAGCAATGCCGATATCAACAGTTGCCGTGGAACAAGAATTTAGTGCGGCCGGCAACGTCCTAACCGATTATAGAACGCGGTTGAGCCCGAGCTCTCTTGAGACGCTAGTTTGCTTCCATGATTGGTTGAAGGCCAAATGAAGAACTCAAGAAATGACCATCGCTCCCACCCGCCACTTTATGGAGGAAACAACCACCGAAGGCGGAGATTCCGATTGATTTTTTATTTCAAAATGTATTACATTTCTTAAATGCATCCTAATTCTCAATTGTACTTGTTTGAAATAAAAATACTTGAATTATTTTATATTATTGTGTACATCAATTCAATAATTCAATTCAATAAAATTAATTTGTAAACTTGTACTTCATATGTAGCACTTCTCAAATTAATTAATTGGTTTTAAACTTATAAGTTATAACTTACAACTTGAATTTTTTTTGTAAAATGTAAAGGCTATTTTTAAATTAAAATATGTAATATTAATATGTAAATTAATTAATTTGTTACAAACTTACAACTTACAACTTATACTGTTATACACCTATTTTGTAACATTTGTAAATTATAAATCAAATCACTTTTCTAAGTAAAAATAGTTTTACTTAATTAAAAAATTAAAAACATTTTCCTTACACAATATGTATAATTTTCTAAATCATATAACTTGACCACAGTAGATCACAAAAATTCAATTCAATTCAAACATTAAAATGGACGCTTTAACGATCAATATCCTTGACAAATTTTTTTGGATTTTCAAATTTATTTACTAATTTGATTAATTTATTTCCAAACATTCGGATTACTTTTTCTCATCATTTTGAATATGAAAAATGTCATAATGTTAGTTTTTTATGTTTTATTTGAAAATAACGCCACGACAATACGACATAACAATGATCACAATGGCAGGATTATTTGAATTTTAATATGTAACATTGCAACATTTACATGTTTTTTCAATAGCTTGACAAACAATGAAATGTCATTTTATGGCACTAATAATTATATGAAATAAATATTTATTTATGACACAAAAATTATTTACAAAAATATGATCAACTCCAAGAGTAGTATTGGAATCAAAGTAATTTATGTGTAATTTTTAAATTTAAGTTACAATTTTGGACGCGATTTTCAGATCATCCAAATTCCAAAAAAGCCTTTTTGTGCTTTAGTGTAGGAGTAAAAATGATAAAACTGCATACATTCGACGCCCCTTACCCCACCGTAAGTGGAAACCTTTGCGACATTGGAGTAATGATGACGATTTTACAATGACACTATATTGTAATAACTATTAGTCATACATCGGAGCAAATGTATCTGATAATTTGAGAGGAAGATCAAAGTATATTTTTTATGTTCTGATAAAAAATAGTACTCACAAAAATGATCCATGTATTCTCTACTAGTACAACAAAAATGTATATAAATCAGTCAAGCGCAGAGGTAGGAAAGCAATTGAGAGTACTTAGATTGAACATCCAAAATCATGGCAAGGGATAACGAGAGCAGGGCACACACTACACAGTAGAGCATTCAAAAGTCATAAAAACATCACACAACACAAACTGCAGGACGGAATTGCTGGATAGTAGAAAACGGTATGATGAAACAGGGCAAGCCAGCGTGCATGCTCTGCTCTACATGAGCAAGGTCTTGACTATGGACTTCACATTGAGCTTCTTCAGATCTGTATAGGACTGCCCACAACCCACAAACATGACTGGCGCACCAGATACGTAGACCATGGATAAAGCTGCTCCCACCTGCAACCCCCGCAACACCATCACATGTAAGGTCAGCTATTTACAATAAAAATGAAATGTGCCATACCAACCACAACCATAAAAGCTTGCACACATTCCATAAGAAAAGGGAAATGGTGATTTTAAACAGCATGATGTACCTTGTCATCAATGGTGTCAAACTTAGTCAGGAGAATTCCATCAATCAATCTTGGATTTGGCGAGGGTGATAAGTCACCCAATTTCTACAAATAAAACCAATCAAAATGTGTATAGAAGAATAAGAGTGTAAGACTACTGTGGGTCGGTCAACAAAGAACTCACTCCCTCTTTTATTATCCTTTGTATTCCATTTTCTTCTCAAACTAAACATTAAAAAACAAAACTATTTGTAAAGCAAACATTGCCAGTGCATAAGCTATATGCATAAAATGCAGCATGTGCATGCATGCAAGTATGTATATCATAAGGCGTATCTCAACGAACCTGATTGAACTTTGTTAATTGGTCTACGGCATCATTCCCGACAAGGGCCTCACCAACAAACAAGACTAAGTCTGGACTGTTGACGTAAATAAGCTTTGATAATGCTCTCATCAAAGGTTCATTATCCTGTTGGAAAACCCAATCACGACATCTAAGAGCCGGGTATAAGAAAGTGACCACAAAGCTCCATCAAATTAAAAAAACAATAGCCTGTTCTAAACCCTGGAGTCTGGAGGTCCTCCCATTTTTACATTTTTAAATATTGAAAGTATAAGATCTGAATTTTAAAAATAAATACCTGCATTCGGCCAGCTGTATCAACAAGGACAACATCAGAACCATTGCGAGAAGCCTCATGGATTGCTTCCTTTGCAACAATTGCGGGATCTTTCTCATAGCCCTTCTCATATATTGGGATCTATAGATGACAAAGGAGGTTAGGCGCCTCAAAACAATTCACAAGCTTTCGAAACATTCTAGGAGAAGAATAGTCGTCAATAATAATACTGCGTATGTCCCGTACTCCTGTTATGTAAGATACATTTTCCTTTTCGTGTTGTCCCAACAATATGAGGAGAATGACATTTGTGCAACTCAGGTAGAGTCAGATTATGATGTGAAATAAGATTGAGGGCAAATCATAATCGTGTCTGTGTGAAGAAACTTGTAAATTGCTCATACAGTGAATATAGACTATTTTATGTGAACCCACAGCTATGCACTTACCAAAGATGCTTGTGTCTGTTTGAACGGAACAATGTCTCTAACAGACAATAGTTAGCTGTGGCACAACATTTACTGTGTGACATTGCATTTTCTCCACACAAACATGTTTTGTCGGTATGTTTGTGCGAAAGATTGTGATATGTACATATTGTGTACATATTACATAAGTGTTTAAACCAAAATTGTTGAAACTATGAAATCTTCCCTAAATTGAACCCCTCTAAGAGCCCGTTTGGTGACCTTGTTTTTTTGACTTGTCAGGCTTATAAGCAAAATTTTCACCAAACACATAACTTTTGATTTCGCGCACTGAATTATGTAATAATAAGAAAAAATAAGGTTGGAGTTGCTTCTTTGGCTGTATTGGCTGAAGTTACTTTAGATGATCATTTTAACTATTTTTGATATATATTTTTCTTTATTTTATTATTAAAAAATATTTTAAAAATAATTTTTTCGTAAATCGGTAGAATCAGTCAATCCAGCCACTTCAGCCAATCCACCCAATTTCATAAATTTCAACAGATTTAGCCAATCCACCCAATTTCAGTGTTACCAAATGGGCTCTAAATTTTTACCTTTTGCCATATCTCTTTATCTTCGCATTTTAATTTTTTGTGAACTCAAGGTACTTTTTCTTACTTTTGGGGGGTTACAATTGTGAAAGAACATATATCCTTTAATTTCTTGAAATCCATGCCAAACCATTGCATCTTAAATTTTGAGACGGATGAAGTACAACAACAACAAAATCCAAACCTTATTCGCAAAAGATTTTGGGATCGGCTAACATGAATGATCCATGATAACAAATCCAAAAAGAAAGAGAAAAAAAAAGATAAGATAACATGAAATGGATAGATAACATAAAATGGATAAGACAAAGACAGATGGAGTAATGATGAAAATAAAAATAATTATTATTATTGTTATGGTTATAAATATTATGACTATTATTATGGTAATGCCGTGATGGTTTTTTAGCTGTTTCATTTGCTTTTAAATAGATTTTAAGAGTAAAATGGAAGGGGTAGTTCTACATTGGGGAACTGGTGGAGTGGTGTGCACCCTTTTTTGGGTATTATTAAGGCACAAATTCTGGAAAAGAAGGAAGTACTTTGCAAAAGGTAATTTTAGACATTGTTCATTCACACACAAATTTATTAATGTGGAAAAACTTGTATACTTGCATGAGTACCTGAAGCCTGCGTGCATGAGTACGGAGTTGCTCCACAGCTCCTGAACGAAATGTATCACATGCAGCCATCATTACGTTTATCTTATGCTGCAGAAGCCAATAAGCAACCTGTATACAGCAGGAAAAGAGCTTGTCACATAAGGTGTTTGTATAATGTTTGATAAGGTGTTTATCAAACATTAATTGAACCTTTGCAAGATTGGTTGATTTTCCGACTCCATTAACTCCTACAAAAACCACGACATATGGTTTCCCTTGTTCCTTCGCTGCATGAACATCCCTCAAAATATCAATGGAGCGCTTAGGAGTAAGTATACGGGTAAGAGCCTCCTCCATTGCAACCTGATTTGAAGAACACGACCTTTAATATTTATATTTTACACAAAGAGCAAAAAGGGAGCACGAAACAAATATGCTTGAAAGTTGAAATACTACCTCTGTCCCAAAATACTTAGCCATCTTTAAAACTTTGACATACTATATATTTTTATCGGAAATTATTTATAATATAAAAATGATATGAAAATGATTTTTGTTAAAAGTACTTCCATAAAAGTATCATATTTATAACTTCCACAATATTATAGAAATCAAAATCATGGTCCAAACTTTAAGAGTTGGCTAAGTATTTTGGGACGGAGTTCGGATGTAGTATTTAAAATGTCAGTTCAGTTCCTTTCTCTCTTTTTAGTAATTCCCACGATACCCCCAGTATTTTCGATTATCTTCATAAGCTGGTAATGGTTTTTATAATACCTTCACTATTGAAGAAATTCTTGTAAATGAGGCTTGTTTTTTACCCTCAAGGCTGGCTGCAACTGATTCACTTAATTTTTCAGCAATTTCCTCAGCCTATACACAGAATACCATTAAACCATTAACGAAGCATATAAATTTTAAAGATAATAATTTATTCAAATAAAACGTCTTCATGTATTAATGCATATCTTTTATGAGAGAGCATACCACATTCTTGCTCATAAGCATGTCCTTAAGACCGCTCAAGGCTAGTTCCAGATCTTCCTTCTCCAAATTTGCCTTTCCTGCAATACTAAAAAAGGGAAGGGCAAGTACAAAATAATTTCAATGTTAAAACATCTAGGAAATGGATGCAATCCAAACCAGCAGTACACAATAGGATCAGACATACTCATATGCTTACCAAAAAATGCAACTTTATAGATAGTACTTGGCAACACCAATATTGACCTTAATCGCTATTAGCAAAAAGGCACAAAATAGTGTAAGATAATACGACCTGCACCAAGCGGCGGTTTCAAAATTCTTTGTACTAAGTTCACATTATTATAAGCATTACCAATTTATCATTTATCAATTCTCTCGGAACATTGCTAAGGTAGTCTTAGATAGTTGGGTTGTCATACAATAGAGAGCATAAAGAACTAAGCATAAAAACTATTTAAAGAAGAGATAAACAATTTCTCTTTTCCTTCCTATATTGCAAAAAAACAATGAAACATAACAAACAAAAACTAGTGAGTCTTCTAGGGGAAAACTGAAAATGCAACCAACATTCATTTAAAATGAATGCAGCCAATACAAATACTAAATAACAATAGGAAGAATTCAGCATGGATGAGAAAAACTGGGGAAGGAAAACAAAATAAAAAATAGGCAGAAGGAGAATTCCCTCATTTATGGTTACCTTTGGAACATTGATGAGAACCACCCTTTCTTCTTTGTCTCAACCTTGCTATCTTTCTCTATTTCATCCTCATCTTCCTCACTTTCACTATCATTGATAATTTCCTCTTTGTCCATCATGCTCCTACCCTGATCTACTGCAATGGCTGCTACACTCTGCTCCTCATCCCCATTCACATGGCCAGTGAAATCTAACTTTTCTTGTGGTGGTTTATCATCCCAGACTCTATTCTTTTTCATTGTTTTTTGTGGCTCTGCCTTAATACTCTTCTTTCCAATAGTATCATTTTTCTTTACACCTTTAGACCTAAGTTTCTGTAACTTATTTACATCAAATGCACCTGCTTCAGAGTTAGCATTCTCTTTACTCTTATTAACCCGCTCTGCAGGCAATTTCTCTTTTTCAAATGTACAATTATAATTACCATTCTCTGGTGAGCTTTTTTTTACCATGTCCTCCTCACCGCCATCATCCCCTGATTCACTTTTTTTATTACCTCCATCAAAATTGCCCCTCTGAACTTGCCCTTGCTTCTTACCAACTACAGTCTTCTTAGGCTTCCCTACCTGCTTCGATTTCTTCATTTCCTCAACACGTGCCTCCGCCTCCTTCCTTAACTGCTGAAAAACATCATTAAATTCATTGTACACATTTCGCTTTGGGTCATATATCTGTGAGAACTCTCGCTTAACCATAGCTAGTAGATCCTCAACATACAAAAGATTGAGAATCTTTTGATAAACAGCAACAAATACAAGTCCAAGCTCGTTGTGAAATGTCCACTTCAGAGTGTATGCAGCTCCAGGCACATCATAGTTGTAGGCTGCAGAACCCGATCGTTCTTCCAAGAGGCAAGTCCGAATCAAGAAGTCAATAGGAGAACCTTTAAGAGCATTTCCGATCCCTTTGCAGGTCCAGAGGATCAACCCCCCTCTCGTGAAAATAATTAACTGCTCTAACATTTATGGGCGATGTAACAAAACCCTGTGAGAGAGAGAGAGAACCCCATATCATTATAAATTTAAAAATCAAAACCACAAAAGATAGGGCCTCCTTCAGCAACATTTTCTGTTTCGTAGCTCTAAAAATGAAAACCAGAATAAGATGTTTTTGGTTTTATGTTGGTAATTTTCAAAATCAACATCTGCTACAAGCAAGACCATTTTTAATATATATTGCAACACATATCATATGTCTTTTGAAACCATAAACAATAACTAATCCAAATCTAAAAGATAAAAAGACGAGTAAAACAATGTGTAAGTAATAGATGAGCAAATTAAGTATTCAAAACAGGCAGCTGAATATGAGTAAAGTCCAATGGGGCTCCATAAGGGCGGAACCAGACCTATAATTGATCCGGGGCTGGGAAACACATCAAATGGTCAGGTCACAGGTCAACTATTTATAGAAAAATAGTTGATCCGATCAATGTCAAGAAAAATCCGGTCAACTATTATATACTCCCTCCGTCCCTCAATAAACTTCCAACTTTCCTTTTTCGTCCGTCCCAATTAAAACTTCCACCTTTCTTTTTTGGCCAGAATTTGTGGTTCACAGCAATTCTTACACATTTCTCTCTCCTCTGCACAACTCTCCACCACACAATACTCACTATCTTAAACTCCGTGCCAAACCTATTTGGAAGATATAATAGGGACGGAGGGAGTAACATTTTATAGAAATAAACATATAGTAACATATATTAATAATTATTCTTCATTACAATAATATAATAATCCTAATACTTAAAACGCATTTTGTTATATACAAGTATTTGATAGTGTTATTTGATATGTTTTGGTTTAAAAATATTCAAATATTTCACTCTTTTAGCGCCAGGCCTTTCAAATCAACAGTCAATTTCGTGAATTCATTCTTCATCATAATATGGATGCAATGGTCATCAAAGGTTTCTTGCTGCGGGAATTTCTTTCCAACATCTAAATGAATGATGTAACCAATTTGCTTAGGGAGTGTTGCATGGAATGTGAGAAGATTCATCCAATCAATAAGCTTGGTTTTAAAAGGCATAAGGCGGCTTGAGGCAATTTCATCGAGTTACCCGAGGCGCAAGGCGCGAGGCGATGAGGCGCTCGCCTCACGGATCTCAACCACATTTCTTTGGTGAAATATTTTTATAGTACTTCTCCATGAAGCACTCTTCTCAAAAATACTTTAAACTATTAAACAATCTTAATAAACATCATTAGAGAAACAATTATTTTTTAAAGCCGATAAGACAGAAGCAAGAATTCCAAATATATACATATTGTTTATGTAAAATCAATGTACTATTAAACTACTTTTGTTATATAGGCTATTTTAACAATTATTTTTTCATCCTTTTAAAGTACGTTAAATTATATAGTATTATCATTGTTATGTAATAAACTATAAAAATAATACATGTTTAATTAATAACTTATCACGCAAATGCCATTTTGTACTCTGTAGCAGACTGATTTGGAAATTTAAATAATTTTATTAATTTTATAAACTTGATAACTTAAGATATTTAAACTTTTTTCAGTTATCTATCAAAACTTATAAATAGCAAAAGATAATACAGAGTAATATGTATCAGTTATCTAACTTTTTACTTAAATACCTTTCAAAAAATACTTTTTATTTACATATTTAAATAATTTTATAAATATAACAACTTAAAATAAAAGAAAATAAATAGTAGAAGAAAAAAGAAAAGTAAATAGTTAAATACTTACCTCTACGACTCAAGATAGCAGAGAAAGGAACCGGTTGGAAGCCTCTGAACTTCTACGCGAAATATAGGGGAAGGACTGACCTAACGCAGAAGGCAGAAGGCATGAAGGAAGGAGAAGACTAAAGAGGAGTTTCATGGAGTGAGGAGTGAGGACCTGAGAAAATTCTGGAAGGAGAGAGCATCTGAATCGGCAAAAAAAACTTGGAATGGGAATCGTAAAAAAACTCCATCGGACACTAACCATGAAGCGCTAAAAGCGCACGCCTCTCAGACGCGCAAAAGGCATAAAAAGGCGTCGATTAAGTGCCGCCTCTGGGAATCTGCGCCGCCTGGGGAATTCAGATGCGATGAACCTATCGCCTAGCGCCTTTTTGCGCCTCAGGCGCGCTTTTTTAAACCAAGTCTACAAGTTTAGCAAATTACTAGAAATCTTGTCAAAGAACGTTCAAGAGTCTCGTTATAAATAAGCTATTATTGATATGACTAAGCTGGGTACAGTTGAGCCATTCAAACTACACACCAGAGAGATAAGAGATAATCTTCATTAAGAAATTATAAAAGCTTTATTAACTTGCAACTAAAATGAACCTAAATGAGAATCATAGTAAGTCCAGTTTCCCTAGTATTTCTTCACTTGGGTTTACAGATGATAACATATGATGAAGATTATGCATATGTCTATCCTCTAATTCTAAAATCAGAACAATGAACTGGAAAACCATACATATATACTCCTCGGCGCTTTGAAAATAAAGAAAAACAACTCTTTTTAGATGTTGGTGCCGGTAACTTCTCACAATAAAATTACAGCCGTACCAGCATCGCAGGGTAAAAAGGGTTCGATTTATATTTCAATGGGTTGAGAGATGTATTTATAATGGCTCGGCTTAAGGGCCTGGTTTAGAATCGCTAAAAGTCTAAGGGCGTATTTACTCCTATCCTCTAATAATTTCAGTAATAATTGAAAGAATTAAGGTCAGAAACAATCATGTGGATGTGATTTACGTTATGAAACTGCAGGAGACACTAATAATTAAAATAAGTCAATACTTTTCAAGTTAGCTTCTGTGATTAATAACATTGTTAGTGGCAACCATTTTAATAATAGACAATCACTTTGTAAGAATTTGCAGGTAGCAATCTTTATCTAGTGAATGTGACTATGAAAATGATCAGAAAATGTAATATTTGTATAAAATGGTATGATTAAAATTAACATATAATTTGTCACCATTTTTTTAAAATAATGTTGTTGTTGGTGTAGATGTTTTTAAGAAGAATGAGTTCTAGAACCAGTTTTGTAATTGTGACTTATAAGTTACAAAACTGCAAATGATTTTCTTAGTTATATGTTGATTCGATAATTAGAAACTCAATATAGTGAAAATGTGCAATGGTGACCAACTCATAAGTTACTCGTTGAATTATTGGTCTAGAAAACACAGATGGTAGCAGTCCTTTTCTTACTTGAAGATATATTGTATTAATGCAAAAGCAGTAATGACTATGTTAATTAAGGATCCAGTGAAACATGCATCTTTTTATCAACAAATAGGGAGACAAAAATTCTGAAATGTTAGTTGCACTCTTTAATTTCTGATTTGGTTGCTTTCTTGCTTAAAAAAACATACTCTGTATTACTGAGGTTTGAGGTATCAACTTTGACACTATTATGTACTTTGATGATATTATGTAAATGACACTATGCCTTTGTTGTAAAAGTTGTTCTTTTAGCTTAACACATAACTCACATAAAATTTGTTGTTAAAACAAATAGACAGTAAAAGCCTACATTCAAAACATCTGTACGCACTAAATTACTCTTGAATAGAAATAGAAAATAGTTACAACACATAGAATCGTGGCTGTTTATACTTTTTTTGGAGCATTATTGTGCTTAATCACCAAGTCTACAAGAAATATGGCTCATATACAGTCCACATACAGTATAGTTCCTCTGTATTTTTTCAAATTGAGCAGATATAAAGCAGAATAACAACAAATTGTTAACATTCTATTAGAAAAAGCAGCAAAGTGCATGTCTTTTTAATGTTATTTTAAGCATGGCTAGTTTTGAAAAGGTTAAATGAGGTCCATGGAAAGTGCAGTTTGGTTTGGATCATAGTCACATGGTTCGCGGTACGGTTCGATACGGGAACGAGGAACGGGAACGCGGTTTGCTAGATCTAGCGTATCCGATTCGGAGGGGGTAGGTTCATTTCGGTACGCATTTGGTACGATGTACCATATGTTCGGTACGTTGTACCTAATTTTTTGGTACTATAAAAAAATACAAAACTGAATTAAAGAATACAGATTTCAGCATTGAACAAAAACGGATTTCATAACATAAATTCATAACATAGAGTAGAAGAAGAAGACTGCGTAGGAACAATAGACATCTTCCCTCAATTTATAAGAGTTAATTAAAATGTAAAATTGATGAGTAGGAATAATTGGGGCCAGAAAACGAAGGGATGGGAGTCTGGAACGTTGGTTCAAAACGAAGGGCCAGAAAACGAAGGGCGGTATAATTTTAATACGCCTACTGTTACAGGCGTCTGAAATGAGGAGACCTGCGCGTCTCAAAGTATAATACGACGATTCAGTTCCGTTTGAAATTGCGACCGAACTGGTAGGGTTGCGGAAACGACGAGAATCTTCGCGTTTAAATGGTAGAGCGTCTCTTATGCCGTTTAAATCGCGATCGGAAACTCCTGCAGCAGCGATGGGGAATGACCTGGTTAGCGATGAGGAACGACCTGGTTAGCGATGGGGAACGATTTTGTAAGCGATCGGAAACTCCTGCAGCAGCGCTTTAAATCGCGATCCGAACAGCGTTTGGAATGCTTTCGTACCGCGTTTGGGTACAGGGCGTTCGGAACGCAGTTCACGGCTATTTCAGCGATTTATGTTTCTATGGTTTGGATGTTTTGCTAACTGTTTTATTCTTTTAGAAATTGAAGATATGCGCTATTTAGTTCTCCGCAGAACACTTATGAAGCCAATCTACAAAGAAATTTGTTTGGATATAAACGAATGATTAATGATTAACTAATAAGTATTGCATAAATGACTGCACATAATAATATGAACAATTGTAATGGTTTTTTGCCTAACATTTTATGGGCATTAAAATTTAAATAAACACAAACGGACGTTTGTTTCAGTCTCAGAAATTCACCACCTTGTGTAATATTGCAGTAAAATAAAAACTAAAGAATATCAGAATTCAGAACATGGAAGAAAGAGAAACCTTGTGCAGAGAGATTGTAGTAGATCAGAATTCAGAACATGGAAGAATATACTCTACTTGAGCGGCCTTTCTCGGTTTGATAACTGCAAAAATACACTTTGTTATCTATTTATACGAAAAAGAACCTTAACGGAAAATGATAAAAATAGTACATCTATACCTAACCTTAACTACGTTGTTGACTTAACTGCTAACATTAGTCATTTGAGACATTTGTTCTATAAATGATACGGAGTAAGACATTGTGTAACTTTTGTGGCTGCCAATGAATGACCTTTTAAGTGTGATATTCTTAGCTAACACTTTTGAGGAGGGTGCAGAGTTGAAATTGTGTTTACATTAAGGAAGAAATACATAATAACTTATAACTATTGCAAAGATTGATGCAGTTAATGTTATGAACTATCATTGAGACTTTTTAGAAAGTACTTCGTAAGCCTGAACAATCTTTTTTAGATACGTAGCAACAAGATACCTCCTTTTTTAATTCCTGGAGTTCTTCAAATAAGCATAGAAGTGAACCTATCCCAATATCCCAACTCTATCTTACATATATGAAATCCCCACTCTAGTTGTAGTTTGTAGATGAATATAATTTGAAATTAGGGAAGTAAAAGGAGCAGTTGATGCGCAGTTTTTTCAAAGGGAACAAAGATATAATGAAATGGGGAGTAATGCATTAAAAGAAGCAAATGAAGTAAAACTTGCGTGATAAGAGTAGATGTTGGTGGTGCAGAAAAAATGGAACGGCCAGAAGCATATTCAACGCTCTCTCTTGAAGTTATACTCCATATGTAATAATCTTCCTGGACGGTCGCCGACGGTTGATGGAGGTTCGATAACCGCAGAGCTATGCCGAAGAGGCGTATGTGATTGGAGAGGTAATTAGAATGTTAGATTTGGACGGAAAAAGGACTATCTAACTGACTTTGGGGCTTATTATATAAGCAGAGATATAAGCAGAGATAAGCAGAGATTTTGAAGCTATTATTTGGTGCTTCAACTTTATCATAACAAGAAAATAATTTTTGAGATCATCTCCACACGCCCAGAGTGAGAACGATCCTCAAAATCCCAAATGAAGATTTTGAGAGAAAAAATTTGAGCGTGTGTGTGTTAGCCATGCGAAAAAATTCAAAAAAGGAGACAAACGTGAAATAAATATACCCAAATGAAGCGAGGACAACAACACCTGGGAGATCATTCAATCTGCATCCAAATCGGAAAATTGCGTGGGAGAAGTTAGACTCAACCACAAAGAAGCCGTCAATTAGATTAAAATCGGGATTAGCCACTGTGCCTCGCATGTAATCAGCATAATTGAGATTTGGATGAACACATAGAGCATTTCTGGAGCAGAGAAGGAGGGGGGCGGATGTGATATGGAATATGGAAGGTGAGAGGTGAGAGCATCTCCAAAATCCAAATGAGATAGAGATAGGAGTATGGAATATGGACGATTATTTTAATTTAATATGAAAAGAGTGAGAAATTTTACTAAGCCCGTAGCGGGCTCATAAAGGAGCACGTAGGTACAGCTGGCACAGATTTAAATGAAAATAGAAAAATAAAAGGGGTCAATTACCAATTATAATCTTTCAGTAAAAAATTAACTCAATTTGTCTAAACTTATTTTGATCTACTCCGTCGGAATCTACATGAATACTGATTTCCGGATACATTCTTGATCAACGTGAGTGCAGCCGGCCGATTGAAAATAATACGGGGAAGGGAATAAACGGTCTCCTGGAAGATCTGTATATTCCAATTGGGGGCAGAAGATTTCAGGTTTTGGGCCGGTAAAAAACGCTTCTTGTTCCTTTGCGTGAATCGACTCAATCGCCTTTTTACCTTACAAACCTCCATCGCAATACCCAATCACCTTCTTACTACCTCAACATCCCTCATCGCCTTCTACCGAAGAGCTCCTCATCGATAGGGTGTGAAGCAGAACACCGCGGCAGCTCTCAACATTCCATATTTATATGTGAAATTAATCACAGATGGGATTACTGTTGATTAAGTTATGGATGGCCAGATGAGATTACATAATAGAAAGAAAAGAAATAGAATAGAAGAGTAGTGGGATTTAGATTAATTGAAAGGAAAGTAGCGACTTTTGGTGTTTTGGGATTTTGAAATTTTGCAGAAAGAAGAGGAGAAAGAGCGAGAGGAACATGATATGAACTGGTTGTTGTGATTTTTTTAGCAAGCCACCCTTCATTTTTATATGTTACGCGGAAGGCGTAATTCTCAACACGCTTACAGCCGGCAAGAAATCCTTCTTCGCGTCACTTGGGCGGCACCGCTAATGGAGATCAGAAAGGAGGTTCCAGCAGACGACATTAGAATGAATATTAATTAATTCTTTAATTCGCAAATTTCATTAATTCGCTGCCACGTGGGCTTACGTGCTCTCTAAAGAGCACGTCACGGGAAAGGTAAATTGTAGATATGTAGATCCTACACATAAATTTTGTAGACAAGGAAGAGAGATAGGAGTAAATTATAGACAATGTCTATGACAATGTCTACGATTGTAGTCATGGGAACCTTTCAACGGGACGAAGGAAGTAGATTGTAAACTCAACCCTATAGTGGGATTTTGCGAAAAACGATGCAACATTAGATAACGATTGTCCCTAACTTTTGTTAATTGTCTTAGCATATGGAACAACTAAATGATAATACATTCGCGGAAATATTTATTACCAAAACATCGTTCAACTTTGACTAATTACATATTTATAAGAAATTATTTATAACATAAAAATGATATGAAAATATTCTACGTTAAAAGTACTTCAATAAAAGTATAATAACTTCCCAAATATTATACTAATCAAAACAATGGCCTAAAGTTTACCGACATTGATTTGAAAAGTCAAAGATGACAAAATTTTAAGAGACAGTGGTATATTATACTACATATAAAAAATCTATTAATGTAGCTGAAAAATATTATTACTATTAAAGTTTCCTCTAATTGAAGTATCAGTAGTAGATATTATCTATTACTATAAAATAGAATGATTGTCTATATTTTCCTATCAATGTGAAATTATGGTTGAATTGGTTAAATCCAATAAATCATAGTAAAAAATTATTAGTATAGGAATAATTAATTGGTAAAAACTGAAATAACAATTACGTTTTAGCAAATTCAACCAATTACATAAGAAAAACAATTTAAATCATACTTGTTTAAAATACGAGTAATAAACAATTGTTTTACAATTTAGTACGTAAAATCAAAACTTAGATGTTTAATAAAGTTAGCCAATGAGAAGAATAAGCTAAAATTAGAGATTACAAAGTGGACTCTTAATTTTTCAAAACTCGACTTAATTGAAGCCCAAAAGTAAATAATACGTAGTTTACTACAATACCTATTTAAATTTATTGTACATTTCTTGGTTATTATACCTCCTCTTGATGAAATGAGGGGGTGTTTTTTGGAAGAAGTGTTGTGAACAACCAGGCATCCAACATAACCTAAGAGCTCTATGGGTTTAAGATTACTGGGCATGAGATTACATTCTTCACTTTTGGGAATGTAACATTCCCAATTTCTTTTTAAACCCCGCGAACCAAACGCGGGTATCTCCGATTCCAGACATCACATTCCGACCTGCATACAAGATTACCTCCAACCAAACGTACCCTAAATATATAAACTCATTACCCAATATACGATAGCCAGCCGCCTTCATCCAGCCAAAGAGACATCGGTTAAACCGATGCTCTCATGGGGATGTCTATTCTCTTACCCACTCTTACAATTGGGTCCCATTTTTTATCTCACAAAATTTATGTGTAGGATCTACATATCTCCATATTTATTTTCATTTTCATTTTTATATATCACTTCTAATCCACTTTTCATCCACTTTTGCTCCTCGATTCCCGTGTAATATCTATTTGTAGACATTGTCATAGACATTGTCTACAATTTACTCCTATCTCTCTTCCTATCTCTCTTCCTTTTCATTCTAAGACAATTAACAAAAGTTAGGGACAATCGTTATCTAATGTTGCATCGTTTTTCGCAAAATCCCACTATAGGGTTGAGTTTACAATCTACTTCCTTCGTCCCGTTGAAAGGTTCCCATGACTAAATGACATGATTTTTTAGGAAAATGATTAAATAAAGTAATTTGAGTAAAAAAAGAGAGGAAATAGAAATTGTGAGACATGACATATAATGAGTAGCAAAAAAATTGAGTAAATGTGTAATTAAAGAGACTATGTTATTTCCTAAAATGGAATGAGAACCTTTAAATGGGACGCCTAAATAAAAAAATGTAAATCTTTCAACATAATGGAGGAAGTATTTTTATAGTTACATTAATTTTAAATATGTTGAAAATACATCCAAATATTGAATAATATCCCGTGTATCGCACGGGTACTATACTAGTGTTCATCTAATAGAATATTTAACATATTTATTAATGTGTTTCATTATGCATTTACTTAAACATGCAAATAAACACTTTCTAAAAAAATCAATTATTTTAATTTGACTTTATTTATCATTGAGGTATTTCATTTTTTCAATAATAATATAAATTACTTCGGATGTAGGTTGTAATGAATTTATTGTGTTATAAGAGAAAATATTTGAAGGATACTGAAGTAATTCATCAAGTCTGCAACCAAACAAATTAATGTCACATTCCCTTAATCTTAACCAAATACAAATGAGATAAAGATTGAACACATTCCCATCAATCTAACATACCCAGTAATCTGACATTCCCATGGTAATCTGACATCTCTTGAACCAAACGGACCCTTAGGGTTAGAAGATAAGAGTACTATGCATATTCCGTATTTAGTTATTGGGAATAGGTAGGTTGGGTTAAATCCAAATTTGGGCTGTGGTGAATTTAAAATTGGGCTGGATTGAGTTCTAAATTGAATGAACAGTAATCATTTAATTTAACTTAAAATCTGAATACGGAGTATATTTTTACTACATATATACGGAATATATATATTAAATGGAGTGATGGTGTTTATAAACAAAAAAGTGCATGTTTTTTATCAACATAATAATTGGGCTAAGTTTGATTCACATTTTAGTTGGATTGGTTTTTATTACACCTTATATAATAATACTAGTTTTTAACATGCGCGTTGCGCGATTGAATAAAATGTCCAATGAATGTTTTATTGAGAAATATGTGTATTGTATGTACGTAGATTTGATATGATTACTTGTAGCGCTTGAGATATTAACACTTGCATCAATTTAAAAATAGAGTATTTAGTGCTCCTTCATATGAACGGGGACCCAAAAATAAGTAAAAAATGCAAACGCACAATGGGCTAACCATATTTTTCTAGTTTCATAATAAAAAATCATTCGAAGTGAAAAATATCTAGTACATATCTAACTATTACAGGTTCTTATTCGATCTAATATGCGACATTCACATGATAATATACAAGATATGAAATGAAAGGTATATTAACCAAGAGAAATAAAGGTTCACTAAGAAGCAAAAAAAGAATTTTTATAATTCAAGAGAAAATAGTGACTTATTATGTATTAGGTATTATTTCTTGCATTTGATATGTTTGATTCTATTCAGACTTTACAAATCACCATCAATTGTTTGGATGTAAGATTCATCAAGAAGATCAATGAACTATTAGTTACAAATCTTCAAGAATAAATATTTGTAACTAAAGTTTAAATATGAATTGTATTATTCCACAGAGCGGACACCCTTGCCACTTCTAACGTGCAATACAAAAGTTACTCATCAAAACACTATGAGCTCATATTTCAGTACTCTTTTTTAGGTGAACAAAGTTTATCTATTTATCAAATGTTCATCAGTAAATAGAAATACATCCATCCTATTGTATGTGTCTTGCTTTGGTTTGACTCAATTATCAACAAAGTAATTTTTAAAAAGTAAAATATGTTAGTGAGTTTTAAGTATAATAAAGTGAGATATTGTGGACTACATATTTCTTTCTCAAAAAACGAAATATGATATTTTTTTAGGAACAACTCGGAAAGGAAAACATGAAAATTACAATGGAACAGAGGGGGTATCATTTATTGGAGAAGTGCCCACCGCAAAATGAAATAGAGAATTAGCAACTTTTAAATACATTATTTATTAATACCAATGAAAACCTAAAAGAGAAAACGATAGAAAGCAAGGAGCAAAAGTCTCTCTCCTTTCTTCTTTTTTCACCCTCTACTCACTCAATACATTTTTTTTCATTTTAATTGTGAAATTAATTTTTTTACAAGACCACCATATTTTTCTAGGTTATTTTATTAAATAATACATACTTCAGAATTTTTACTTTTACAAAGTATGTATCTGTATTTGTTGTGATTTGAGAGCGAGTCTTTGAATCTAGAAAGAATATAGATTAAGAATCCATTTCA